ACCACTAGTGAACATATTCAATGTATCCCTTCAAAGAGAAATTTTCCCTAATGATTGGAAATTAGCAAAAATGACCCCCATATTTAAAGAAGGAAATAAGGCAGACTGTGAAAATTATAGGCCAATATCTGTTATTTCAGCTGTAGCTAAACTTTTCGAAAAACTGGTATACCTGCAGCTAAGTTCATTCTTGAGGTTGAATGGCATTCTTGTGGAACAGCAGTCTGGCTTCCGTCATCAACATTCTACTGAAACTGCACTGCTTAGTTCTACAAATGAATGGTTGTTCAATATGGACAGAGGTTTACTTAGCGGAGTTTTATTTCTAGTCCTTAAAAAAGCTTTTGATACTGTCGACCATCATATTCTTTTATCAAAGCTTGAATTATATGGTATCAAAGGAACTAGCCTAAAATGGTTCGAATCATGCGTTTCTGGTCGAAGCCAAATATGCTCTGTGAATGGCAAGATGTCAGCTGTTAGACAAATAAAATGCGGGATACCTCAGGGCTCTAACCTTGGGCCTATTTTATTCCTATTGTACATAAATGATCTTCCTAACTGTTTAGAGACAACTAAAGCAAATCTTTTTGCTGATGACACAAGCCTTTCTTGTGAAGGGTTTAGTCCATATGAAATTGAGATCAAACTTAATAAAGACATTGAAAATGTTCATAGGTGGTTGACAGCTAACAAGCTCTCATTAAATATGAAAAAGAGTGAATTTATGATAATAGAATCAAGACGTCGCTTAGCTTCAATTGAAAATAGCCCAGTACTAACATTAGGGGGAAACAACATTAAGCGAGTTTACCAAAAAAAGTCACTAGGCATGATCCTTGACGACCAGTTAAAATGGAATAAACATAGTGAAATACAATGTAAAACAATTTCAAATAATATCGCCCTGCTGAAAAGAGCAAAATTGTTTGTCAATAGAGATAGTCTGATAAAAATCTACAATGCCTTAGTGTGGCCTCATTTCAATTATTGTTCAACAATCTGGAATGATGGATGTTGTTCGTTAATTGATAAATTGTTTATACTGCAGAAGAGAGCAGCGCGTGTGATAACAGGGGACACATATGAGGTTCGTTCCATGCAAACGCTAGATAGTCTTAATTGGCTTCCAATAGAAGAACTTCTAAAACAACGACAGTTAATAATTACATTTAAAGTACTAACTGGTCGATTACCTCGATACCTTGAAAAATTGTTTTCAGTAAGTCAAAATGACAATTACAATCTAAGAAGCAATCAAATTAAATTGAACCTACCCAAACCTAAGACAAATTTTCTCAAACGAAGTTTCTCGTATAGAGCTGCTAAGTCCTGGAACGAACTTCCAAGTGAAACTATTGAAAATTATAACAATCTTTCAACTTTGTCGTTTAAACGGCAATTACTTAATTCATTCGTATCAATTCATTGTAAATAGTTATATTCTTTTTGTCCTTTTTATATTATTGTTGTAAACACACGGCCCTTTGAAAACCAGCGCTGTAAATATTATCTGCTGAACAGGCTACCGTGTTTAAATAATTTTATTAAAGATTAAAGATTAAAGATTAAAGCTATTGTTACCCGTTCAACTATTACGCGAAATACTACATTTTGTCGGTTTAAATATCGTTTTTTATAAAGCTAGTAAAAAGTACAAAATTCAAGCCTGCTGCTTCGTTACAGCGTACCCAAGACAGAGTGATCTAAATTGGTCACGTCACACACTCCCCTCCTAAAAAGAGTGTTCTCTAACATTACGATTTGAATGTTAACAAATCCGAGTGGATTTAGTTCTATAATAAGCACTATTGTTCGAGTCCTTCATGTTCTTCAAGTCTAAATTATTAGGAATTTGCTGCTTACTGGCCAGGCAAACAACATCTTCGTCTGATATCTTAACTTTGTCCATTCTTTTTCACGTAATAACTAACAACTCTTCAATAGTTCTGCATTGTAACAGGTTTTAAAGTAGTTTATACCTACTTATTATCGTAAAGTTCAGAAACCAAATACTAATAATTGTTATAAATTTAAACGTCTAGTAACCCATGTTAAAGGGCATCAAATAATGTGAGTTCCAGCACGGACATTGGTAGATTACTGGAGGGTAGAAGGGATGAGGAAATGGAGGGATCCACGGAGGGAACCATAGTTGTGGAATAAACGGCGCCGGTGGCGGCAGTGGGTAACTCTGTGGATAGGTAAATGGGGAAAAGTTTGGCGTTGCATTAACTGACGACACGAAGTGTTCTGGGTTTCCAAGGTGGTTGTAATTTAAAGGGCTTGGTGCGTACCTTACTCGCGTACTCCGTCGTGTTGGTGGGGCAGGTGGGGATTCGGTTGCAGGTTGCATTGGTTCTTCATTTTGTTGCTCTTCCAGCTGCGTGTTCAGGTGAGGCTCCTGAGTGTTCTCTGCAGCTTCGTTTTGCGCTATATCGTCTGCTGGATCCGCCGTATCAGGTTCACTTCGATCAACCGCTTCGTTTCCTTGTAATGAACCATTTTCAAAATTTCTCTGTTCAGGTAATATTTGAATCAAAATCTCCGAGTCATCACTATCACTTTCACACTGTTCTGCTGTTCCGCGTGCAGTTTCAATTGGGCCTTTACCCTTCTTTTGAACGGATTTTGGAATTGTTTTTTCTGGTAGTTCCGGTGTGAGTGGTAGGAAATCGCACGGTAACAAAAGATTCCGATGAAGTAATCGTTTCCTTCCGTCTTTCGCTTCTGGTTTCACTTCATACACGGGACTGTCCGGCGTGCAATTTACGACAATGTGAATGTCTTTCTCCCAGTGCGATCGCAACTTCCCAGGACCACCCCGTTCACTTAAATTCCTTACTAGTACACGATCACCAGGCTTTAACGTAGAATATCTCGCACCTTTATCATAATGTCTCTTTCCTTTTGAACTGCTTTTAGTAGCATGTTCGCTGGCGAAAGTATAAGCGTCATTCATTGCACTAGACCACTTTTTCACATAATCTTTGTGGTTGAGTCTGTCTTCAACTTTGTTACAACCAAACATCAAATCTATCGGTAATCTTGGAGAACGACCGAAAAGTAGGAAAAATGGCGAGAAACCGGTAGCATCATTTCTCGTGCAATTATATGCGTGGACAACTTTCGAGACATGTTGGTCCCATCGTTTTTTCTGATTCTCTGGCAGTGTCTTTAGCATGGACAAAAGCGTTCTATTGAATCTTTCTGCTTTACCGTTGCCTTGTTGGTGATACGGTGTTGTTCTCGATCGAATGATCCCAGACGATTTTTCTAATTGATGAAATAATTTATTCTCGAACTCCCGTCCCTGATCATGTAGAATCCGGCTTGGAAATCCGTAATTAAGAATAAAATCGTTGTACAGTTTTCCTGCGGCGGTTCGCGCTTCTTTATTCTTGGTTGGATACGCTTGTGCGAAACGAGTAAAGTGGTCGACTATTACGAGAATGTATTCGTACCCGCCAGTGCTTCGTTCAAGATGTAGGAAATCCATTGAGACGAGTTCAAGTGGCGCACTGGAGCTCGTTGTTTCACACAGCTACATTCCTTGGTTACAAAGTGCGTAATGTTGCTTTGCATGTGTGGCCAAAAGAACCTTTCCCTTGCAAGCTCAACTACTCTTTCAGCTCCCAGGTGACCCATATTCTGATGAAGCTCTTTGTAAACTGTCATACGATAACAATGTGGCAGCCTCCTTTTCTCCTCAATATTCCGTCAGTTCCTATTTCTAATCTTTTCCATTCTCTCAGCAAAGTTTTAGCCTCTGGTGTTAGACGGTTTATCTCCTCCTCTGTTGGGTATGTGTTCTTTGCCTTTAACGTGCGGATTTTCCCGATGCACAGATCGCTGTCTTGAGCTCGAATAAATTCGTTAGGGTCCAATTTTTGTAGTGCACTTAATTCGGATATTAATTCGCTTGTGTTCAGTACTTCGGGATTTGCTGTGATCGCAGTAATCCACGGTTCTTGTGCCTGAATTCCAATCATACACGCTTGTATGCTGTCTTGCGAGGTTTCTTTGGTGCACAATTTCATATATTCATCTATGTCCATTGGCATTCTCGATAAGGCATCTGCGTCCTTGTTTGCTGCTCCAGGTCTATATTTGATGGTAAAGTTGTAGTCCGCTAATTCTGCGACCCAACGGTGCCCTGTTGCAGTTAATTTCGCAGACGTTAACACGTATGTCAATGGGTTATTGTCCGTAAATATTGTGAACGACTTGGCATAATATAAATAATCGCGAAACTGTTCGCACACCGCCCATTTTAGTGCTAAAAATTCGAGTTTTCCCGAATGTAGGTAATAGTTTTTCTCAGCAGGGGTCAGACTTCGTGAACCATAACCGATGACGCGCATTTCACTATTCTGTTCTTGGTACAATACTGCACCAAGTCCTTCCTGAGATGCGTCCGTATGTAAAACAAATGGTTCGTTGTAGTCTGGATATGCTAAAATTGGGGCAGTCGTAATCCGCGTCACTAATTGGTCTAAAAAACTATGTTCGTCCGTCCATGAGACACTTTGGGAAGATGGTACTTGGGGTGTTTTCGATTTATTGTTACTCGGTTCATTTGATCGTTGGAGAAGGTCGAATAAGGGTTTTGCAACTCGAGAAAAATCCTGAATGTATCTTCTGTAGTAGCCTAACAATCCTAATAAATGTCGAACTTCTCCAACCGTTTTGGGTTGTTTATTCTTTAATGATAGAACCGCTTGTATCTGAGTTGGATCCATTTTATATCCGTATTCTGAAACAACTCGACCAAGACAATGAACTTCTCGACGAAACAGGTTACATTTCTTAGGTTTGAGCTTTACACCATGGTCTCGAAGGCGCCTTATAACAGTTCTTAGGTGTTCAACGTGTTCGTCGAAAGTCTTGCTAAAAACTATTACGTCATCTAAATAAGGTAAACATATTTCGTCTCGAAGTCCTTCCAGACATGACTCCATAAATCGTTGGAATTCTGCAGGGGCATTTTTTAAACCAAAAGGGATTCTTACCCACTCATAGAGACCCCATGGGGTTATAAAGGCTGTCTTATGTTGATCCGCAGTCTCTATGAACCCTTGATGGTAAGCTTTCCCCTGATCTAAAAGGGAAAACCACGAGTTTCCGCCGATATTCTCGAGTGTTGTTTGGACTTTGGGTAGGGGGTGACGATCCGCAATAGTCCGTCTGTTGAGTTCTCTATAATCAACGCACAAACGTAAAGTACCGTCCTTCTTCCTAACACAAACGACAGGTGATGAGTAAGCTGATTTAGATTTACGTATAAATTTCCGATTTAAAAGATCCTCAATATACTGTTTTACCTCTGGATATAAGGGCTTTGGTATTGAATTATAGTTCTTTTGAACTGGGATGTTATCTGTTAAATTGATCTTCATTTTAAGTTCTTCACTACAACCGATATCTTCATCATCTCGAGAGAAACAATCTGACTCTTCGAGAAGCATTTGTTGAGCGACTAATTTTTGTTTCTCAGTCAGACCATTTAAATCAACTTCAGGTATCCAATCACCGTAAGAGGTCTTTGGGGTATTTGTGTTCAACTTATCATCATTTACTGACACTCCATTAACTTGTGCTTCTTTATCACACTTTTCCCTAACTTCAACAGGTGTAACAGATTTTACTAATTGCAATCGTCCAAGTATAGTTCTTTTTGGAAGCAAAATATCATGATTGGTGGAATTTCTCGCTTGAATAACCACCCGGGAGGAGAACCCACTATTTATGTTTGTCAATGTCTCTTCGATTTCAAGACCTGTGGGCCATGGTTGTTCAGGGTCTGGCTCAAACAGAACTGGGAGCTTACTTGTTGCATTCGACCGTGTGTTCGCTCTACAAGTAACACTCACTGTCTTGCCTTGAGGAATCAACACATCATGCTTTATAGTTTTAACCAAACACAGTTCACTACATTCATTTGTTTTTATAAGTTCAACAAGAGTTTTAATGTTTTTGGAATCAACTGTGGGAAAACTTGCTGTCATCGATGAAATAATGTTATTTGTCTTGTCAACTGGGTATTTGACTAGTTCTTCAATAACATTATATCCGATGATAGGGTGATCAAGATGATCAGACGCTACCAAAAGAGGCACTAAAACCTCTTCTCCAATTTGTGAGTTCAATAATTTAAGTCTCACCTCTATAAAACCTTTGTATGGGATAGACGAACCATTTGCTGCTTTGAGATCTAAATTGTTCTCCAGTAAATCTTCAATCGGATTAATCTTGACATCAGGAAAGTTTTTCATTACCCATTCATGCGAGGTTATTGAAACCTGAGCACCCGTATCCCACAATGCCTCAACTGGTACATCTTCAATTAAACACTTTACTAAACATCGATTACCAACTAGTTTAATCACATTGTTTTGCTGTGCTGGTGTAAGGTGGCTTACATATTGTCCCTTTTCTAACCACTCTTTCTCCTCTTTTGCATCTTTTATAACCATATTTACTATTGCATCACAGAAAGATTGGTGGTTTTTCCAATGGTCCGACTGGCACCTTTTGGAACAATAACAAACTGTTTTACACCGAGAACATCTTAGAATACTTGTACTGTTTTGTGACTTACCACAGTTTCCACATAAATGGGACTTGTTGCTATCTTGGACTACTTCCTGTCCCTCTGAAGGAGTCCTCGTCCGTTTCCCGATCTCTGTTTGCATCCCCTTGCATAGTGTTCATCCGAACTACATATATAACAATGGGTACATTACCCATTTCCTTGTGACTTACACTTTGGGCAGGCTGGTCTCTGTTTCCCATCATTCCTGTTATTTGCAACCATAGAACTTTTGATATTAGCTATATCAGCTTTGACAGCCTCTAATGTCATCATTAAAGTGTCACGCTTGCCTTTCTCTCCACTTTGTACATTCTTGGATGCTTTCGACTCTTGCCCATCTTTATCATACATACAGGAATTAACCTTTGCAGCTTGTTTCCGTGACGACAAGGTTAATTTATTTAATCGCTCCGTCTCTTCAGACATTGCATCACCTACTCCCTTAATTAATTCCTCATCAGTGACGTCATGTTTCTTAAACAAAGGTCTCATCTTTGCACAAATGGTCTCACTCTTGATCCCTGTTTCCAACGCTCTTAACAAAACAGCTTGAACTAACTCATGTGAATATTTAACATCTTCTTCCATTACACGGGAAGTAAATAACACTTGTTGTCGAAGCTCCAAGGCTCTTATTAAGAAATCTTCAGCACTTTCCTTTGGGTCTTGACACAAAATTGTCAGTTCATGATACAACTCTGTAGCACTCTTTTGTTTATAGTGTGCTTTTAGTATCTGGAGAAGTTTCTTTAATGTTAGTCCTTCCATTGTTTCGACATAAGACCTGAGCTTGAGTGTTGGGCATATTGCTCGGATAACTGCTTCAATTACTTCGCTTTCAGTATACCCCTTAGATTTCCCCGACTCGACTTGACGGGTTAAACTAACAAAAGACAATCTGTCTTTCTGGCTCTCAGGCCCTACCATGCCAACAATCTTCAGTTCCCTACGATAAACAGTAAAAGAACCTGACTGACCACTACTTACAGTTACAACTTTTGGTGTAGTTTCTTTCAGTGGTGCTGGACTCTGAGAAGCAGCCACATCTCCAGTATTATCTTCAGTATCCTCAGTTGCGTCTTCCAGTGGCGGTGGTTCTATTTCTAGAAGCTCTTGTAGCTTGTGTAAATACTCAACTTTCTTAGGGACAGTTTGACATAATTCCGCATTTTCGTCAATAGTTTTCCTCACTAGTTTAGATAAAACACGTCGACTTTTACCTTCTATATTTTCTTCACCCAATTCTAACTTATTTGCCAGTTTAACAAGCTCATTTACATCCAGGGAAAGTATGTCCTCCTAAGTTTTTCAAATTCTCTTCGCACGCCATCTTGGATTTTTAACCTCGATATTTTCGGCTAATTCTCGTTCATTTTAAACGAATAACGTTGTATTTACTGTACAATATTCTCTCGAAGTCTTTCGAGATCTCTCCGAAGGCTCCAAATTATGTTACCCGTTCAACTATTACGCGAAATACTACATTTTGTCGGTTTAAAAATCGTTTTTATAAAGCTAGTAAAAAGTACAAAATTCAAGCATGCTGCTTCGTCACGTGACTGTCTTTCTACAGCGTACCCAAGACAGAGTGATCTAAATTGGTCACGTCACACAGACAATACATAACAATGCTCGTGGAAGTCACTCTATTGTAGTCGTGTTTTTGTTTTTTCTCGTGATGAGCACTCGAATTTTAAATATGAGAAATCAGTCCTACCTGTATACTGCAGTACGGGTGTTTTAAATATAGTACGTCGAAAACAATTGACTTGTTCCTATAGTTTAATTGGTGTTTTAAATTAGTTGTTTCCCTATCCTGTTTATCAGTAGGCTATTACACGTCTAATAATTGCTATTAAAAGTTTCTGAATTTCCTCATTAGTATACCCAACAACTGATTATATGCTTCTCCATTTGCAATGGTATTAGATCAAGCATGCAACTGCGAATACCGGCCAGCCTGCCCTTAATATAGTTGGAACATGCATTCTAAAGGATTTTTTAAGAATCAGTCTCATTCGTCAGCCTGAAGTGGTTCTTGTATTTTGAATGCTTAATTTCCTAAATTTCAGGCTGCTGGTTCTTAACCAACTTGTTTGTTTAGGCGGATTTTTATACTGTTTTTATACTGGATTTTTAAACATGCATGCATGGTTAAGAAAAGAACACATATATGGGGCTTTTTGAAATACCGTAGCCCGTAGATATAGCTAATAATTAGATTAGATTTAATCCAGGCATGGTCGACTCTAACTTGATGCCTAGTAAAAATCTGTAACTCACATCAATGCCAACATAGTAATACCTCAAAACATATAGCGGGGGCATTTTTTGGACATCCTGTACATGTAGAATTTTCCCGGCCCGTTTAGATGAGACCGGGACGAAGTCAAACGGGAATGAAAATTGGAATTGTCAACATGTTTACGTGAGACCGGTACGAAAATCACAAAATTTTCAATCTGTTCTCTTTCCCAGGCAATTTTCTTTTTTGTGTTGTTGCAATGTCAAGCCTCAAGGTTACACCCGAGACCGGTCTGAAATGTTTTTGTGTTTATATTCATCCTGGTATGAATTCATGCCAGTCAGTCGGGTCGGTCTAGCAGGCCGATTTCGTCCCTGTCTCATGTAAACATGTATTTTTAAATAATATACTATGACCGAAACGAAATGAAATGGTTCCGTTTTGACTTCGTTCCGGTCTCATGTAAAATGTAAACGGGGCCTAAAAGAGTAACGTACAGTTTTCCAACAGTGTATCAGCTACAGCGATCTTTCATTAATTGTTCTGAAAGTTTGCTTTCCTTCAGGAGCAAACATACTCTTTAAAAAGCTGGGCTATCTCGTCACATCTGCTGTGATCGGTTTGCCAAAAATGAAGAAACATTTTAATTTAATGAAAAGAGATTTAACCATCCAGCATCTTCATACAAAAAGACACAGTCACATGCATGCAGGCAGGCAAAACAATGATCGAATAAAAATAATTTGAAACGTTGCATTAGCCTGGCCATATTAATATTAAGATATCTTAATCTTCGTGTTTGGATAATGTACAATGACATTTGACAACTGTTAAGTGTGTTGACCCAGATTAGTGATTGAGTTCCCCTTCAGCAGTAAGATAAATATTATACTGATAATTAATTCAACATTCTGATCGTAATAGGGAATTAAATATGAAGTATATATTGGCTTATTATAATCCCAAATACCTAATCTTTCTTGGTCAATAACGTAGGGGCCGATTACATGGAGAACTTTCAATCCCGGGGTTGAACTCAGCCCTGTTAACCGGGTTGAAATGTTTTGCGATTACATGGACGATTTCAACCCGGGGTTGAAACGCTATACTATATGTTCTCGGCATCGATCCCGGAAGTAAAAAAGCCTTTATTTTGTTTTCTTGTAATAAATAGTCACTACCACGTATGCTCGAATCACTCATGATAATTTCAGCCCTGGGTAATTGAAACGATTACATGACAAAATTTTCAACCCAGGGCTGAGTTCAACCCCGGGGTTGAAATTTCAACCCTGCTTCAGCTAGCAGGGTTGAAATTTCAACCCAGGGGTTGAACTCAGCCCTGGGTTGAAAATTTTGTCATGTAATCGCGCGTTTGATTTTGATACAGTTTTGTATTACAGACAGGGAACAGCTGGGCATTCTGTTGTCGCTGTCTAAATATTGCGGGGCATTTCTTTAACAAACATTTTGATTCTTCGAACGCAGAAAATATGCATTGTCAGAGGATTTTTTGTCCTCTTTTACTGGTTTGTAATTGTTGATGGAAAATAAAGTGTTTCTTGAAAGATTAAGTTGTAGTGCTTGTACCATTACAAAAATTTCACATTAAAATTCATATATGAAATTGGGATTTCATATATGAAATGAAGATTTTCATATATGAAATTAGAATTTCACATGTGAAAAGGTAATTTTATATATGAAATTTCAGTTTCATATGTGAAATTCTCTTTTTCACACATTAATTAATAAATTTCCATATATGAAAAGCAGGTCATATATGAAATTTTAATTTCATATATGAAAAACTAAATTTCATATATATGAAATCCATTTCACATGTGAAATTTGGTAATTTCATATAAGAATTTTCATATATGAAAATCAAGTCATATATGAAGTTATACAATTCACATATGAAAAACTAAATTTCATATATGAAATCCATTTCACACTGAAATTTGGTAATTTCATATAAGAATTTTCATATATCGAAAATCAAGTCTGGTATGAAGTTATACAATTCACATATGAAAAACTAAATTTCATATATGAAATCCACTTCACACTGAAATTTGGTAATTTCATATAAGAATTTTCATATATGAAAATCAAGTCATATATATGAAGTTATACAATTCACATATGAAAAAATAAATGTTATATATGAAATCCATTTCACATATGAAATTTGGTAATTTCATATAAGAATTTTCACGTATGGAAAACTAAATTTTTTCACATGTGAAATTTTGTAGCTAATTTCATATAAGAGTTTTCATATATGAAAATCAAGTCATATATGAAGTTATATACAATTTACATATGAAAAAAGAAATTTCATATATGAAATCCATTTCATATGTTAATATTGGTAATTTCATATGTGAATTTTCATATATGAAAATCAAGTCATATATTTCACATATTATGAAATTATACATTTCACATATGACAATTAAAGTAATTTCATACACGTAATTCATGTCATAGTGAATTGTAATTGGAACTGGCCCACACTGTATTAAAATTCAAAAGAGTAGATTTGACCTTTTTTTAACCCTAGATTTGCAACTCGATTTGAAACTACATTTACAACCGTTATGTTACAGGAGAATAAAAGACAACATGTGAAATGTTGGCAGTTCTTTGAAGATATTCCTTCTTCAAGTTTCTTGAACTTAATTCTTCAAGCATTTTATATTTAAAAGACTATACTGACTAATTATTATAGCATAAACTGACAGGGCCGTGCCAACCGGTATACGATTGGGGGGGGCGTATTAAAAAATTTGGGCCTCCCTACCCAAGCAGGACCCCCTCGAAAACATTTTCTTTTCCGGAAAACGGTCGCGAGTGGGGGGGGGGCGACGTTATGTTTCCGAAAACAAAAGTCCCCAAAATTTTTCACAACACTAATTTTCGACCTAAATTTCCCAGAAAATTCCATAATTCACCGAACAAATCCTTAATTTTACAAATTTCCCAATTCCAGCATGCCAGGGCCCCCTGCCCACAAGTTGGGCCCCCAGGTGTTCCAGGCCTGAGTCCGGTCTCCTCAATTTCGATACCAATGTTTTGATTGAGGGATTGAGTTAATCTTAAATTCTTCATGACTTCATGGGAACTATATTATAGCTTGTGGAGGTAGGTATTTTTGTTATACAAAAGACCATTTTGAAAACGAAAATTCTCATGATGAGCGCTTTTTGACGGTTGACAGACTGGTGCCTAGTTTTCCTACAACACGCACAAAGCTTCCTGGAATAGCATCATTCGATCACACCGCCATATTTTTGAAATGCAGTGAATTTTCATCTGCTCGATCGAAAGATTTTTTAGTATTTTACTGGAAGCGGAAGATGGTATATTTTAGCGAGTAACTTCCAGGTAAGAATATTGTTTTGTTTTCTATATAACAGAGCAATTTTGAAAGGAAATACTTACTATCTTCATTCGTGAATTTTGAGTATGTGTTCCGTCTTAAAATGTGAATTCGCTGCGACAATATAAATACATTAGCTTTTATACAAAGGTTTACATTTGACTCAGCCTTTATATCAAATTATGTTTCTTGGGAGCGATTATAGAATACCCGGCCACTTTTGAATTTTGATAGTGTTTGCTTTTGGGGGATACGGGGATACGCAGTCATTAAAATGACGTAATTATTCGAGTAGTTTAAAAGGAGAATGGGTAACTATTATTTTTCAATGATACGGGGATACGGGTAACTATTATTTTTCAATGATACGGGGATACGGGGATACGCAGTCATTAAAATGACGTAATTATTCGAGTAGTTTAAGAGGAGAATGGGTAACTATTATTTTTCAATGATACGGGGATACGCAGTCATTAAAATGACGTAATTATTCGAGTAGTTTAAAAGGGGAATGGTTAACTATTATTTTTCAATGATACGGGGATATGCAGTCATTAAAATGACGTAATTATTGGAGTAGTTTA